TCAATTATTACGAAAAATTTAAATAAAATTATTTTAAAAGTTCTATTATATTAAAAAATTTTGACAAAATTCTTTATAAGATTTAGTTAATAAAATTGCAATTTTAATAAAATTTTCCTATACAATTCAATTATTTTTAATACAATTCTTCTTAAGAATTCAATTATTTTCACAGATAATACATTTTTTATGGGAATTCAATTATTTAAAAAAATTTCAATAAAATTCCTCGCTAGAAATAAATTATTTTCATAAATAATAAAATTTTTCTTGAGAATTCAATTATTTTAAAAAATATTGATAAAATGATTTATAAATTTGAAAAATTTTAATAAAATTGGTCGTAGAATACAATTATTTTTGTAAAATGCAACATTCTTTCTAGGAATACAATTATTGGCAAAAATGTTTGTAAAAATTTTCGAAAAAATTCAATTACTTTCATAAAAAATAAAAATTCTTTGAAGCAATTCAATTATTTAAGAAATTTTAATAAAATTCTTTCCAAGAATTCAATTCTTTTGAAAAATAAACATTTTTACAGGAATCCAATTATTAAAAAAATTTTTTTTTTTAAATTTCTTTATCAGATTTCAATTATTTTCAATTTTTTAATGAAATTTCTAGATGTAATTGAATTATTTATAAAAGTTTTAAAAAATTTTGAAAACTTCAATTATTAAAAAAAAATTTGAATAAAATTTTTCATAAGAAATTAATTATTTTCATAAATAATACCTAATATTTTTCTCCGGAATTCAATTATTTTAACAAATAAAATTCTTCACAGGAATTTAATTCTTTAAAAAAAATTTTATTAAAATTCATTGCAAGAATTCAATTATTTTCATAAATAACAAAATTTAACGCAGAATTTAAATTATTTTTTATAAAATTTTTTTAAAAATCGCCGAAATAATTCAATTATTATGAATTCTTTATAATAAAAATTAATTTGAAAATTAGTTTTAGTTAAAATTTTAAATTATAATTGTATATTAAGCATTATAGCCTGAATTTTTAGAAATAATTGAATTTTGAAAAGAGTTAAAATTAAAATCTTTGAATGTTTAAAATTTATAGTTACAATATTCTTATGATATGAAATAATGATTTGAGATTCTTAATTCCTATAGAGAAATAATATTGATTAAATATTTATTAAAAAAAGAAATTAATTGATGTTCTTCAGGGTCAGGGAAAAAGTGAAAATTTCGTCTGGAAATCAGGGAAAAGTCAGGGAAAAACAAAATTAAAATTTTGTGGCAACCCTGTACAAATAAATTATTTTTGGTAGAAATACAATGTCTACCAATTTTTAATTGAATTAAACTAATTTTGTCACGAATAAATTATTTTTGTCCAAAGATAAAAATTTATTTGAGGCAAATAAAAAAAATTTCCCTTAATTTAAAAAACAAAATAAAAAAATAATTTCCCTTTCGTAAAATAAAAATACAAAAATATTCGATTGTTATGAATAAAAACGATTGGAGCTTTGAAAAATACTGAAAATTTGAATATATCTGTATGTGAAATGAAAGAATTTGCATAGAAAAAAAAAATGTGAGAATTGTCGCACGTCGAAAAATCAAGAGGGGTGAAATATTTCCGGTGTCTTCTCGTTGATGTGCAATATTCGAGGCGAGTTCTTCTTTTGAAAGAGGAAAAAAACGAGAGAGAGAGAGAAAAAGTGAGAAAGAAGAGAAAACCGCATAAAAAGGCTGAGTTGCCAGGATTTTTCTTTGCCTTACAGAATGCAAATTTGAAAATACCAACTCCCGCAATTCGGCAAATCTATATAAGAGGAAAAGAAGTGCCTCGAACTGAACCTTATCGAATTTATTCAAAGTCACGAATGCACATGTTCCCTTCAAGAAAACGAACAACGGATTCTTACCCCTATTCTCGTTCCCCTTCTCCTTCCTTTCATTCCGTTAAAATTTTCAAGACGAATTTAATAAAGTTAAAAGGAAAGTGAAAATTTCCCCCCTTATTTCTTCTTTTCTTAACTATATACATACACGCGTATATAAATGTATACATAAAGTTTTAAGGGCGAGGACAATTGCAACTTATCAAAAGGCACGAAAATGAATCACAAGGAACAATGGTAATAAATTATTATTGTATAGAACAAAAATGATAAATTAATGAATAAGAAAAATATAAATTTTTTTGTTGAGGGGGGGAATGAAAAAGAAATGCATGAATGGAACGTGACTTTCAAAATAGTGAAACTAATTATTATTGTAATTAAGTTTCCCTGTCAGTTATAAGAGTTTTGAGACCGATTAAGCTTGTGTATAATTAATGATAAAGACGAGACTGTAGTGAAACGTTAGATATCGTGTCATGTTTCTGCCGTGTATGGATGATTGGAATAGTTCAAATTGACTGCTTAAGAAAAATAAATTTGTGATAAAAATTATAATTTAAAATTTTAATTATTTAATTAAATTTATTAATTTAATTTAAATTTGATTTAATATTAGTTTATTAACTCCAAATATATTAAAATTTCTTAGAAATAGTAATTTTTTCAAGTATTTAAACTGAAAAAACTTACATAAAAATAAAATTAAAACTTAAATACAAATTACAAATTTTAATTTTAATTATAAGGTTAATTTATAAATTTTAAATTTAATTTATTAGGGGAACAGAGTCAGGGTTTGACCTTTGTCCAAATAGTTTAAATTAGTCCCCTAGTTTAATTTAAATTTAATTATAATTTTATTTCGATCGAAATAAATTTTACTACATATTTTTTTATAAAAACTTACCACGGATGCAGTAAAAAATATTTGAAACAGCTATTTTTAAATATTTCTAGCAACTTTGCTATATTAATTATAATTTTAAATTGAAATTTAATTTAAATATTTAAATTGAAATTAATTTATATAATTTAAAAAATTAAGTTTTATTATTTAATCTCAATTTGATAAAAACATTAAATTTTGCGCTTAAGAGATTGATATCTTCATGTTTTATAATAATTAAAGATTATTGAGTGACAAAATCATTATTTTATAATTTATATTATAAGAATATTATTACTCTGACTGCTTTAAAATTATTTTCATTATTTCAATTCAATTATTAGTTTTTAGAAGATTTATCTAAAATTCTTCTTTAAATAAATTATTTTTAATAATTTTTGTAAAAGTTCTTTGAAAATGTTCAAATCCATTTGTTTACAATTCAATTTTTACGAAATTCTAACTATTTGGAAATTTTTAAATTAAATACTACATATTAGGAAATAAAAACTTCAAAAATTCAGTTAAACTTTTTCAAAAAAAAATTAATTCTACATAATTGTTAATTAAAAGTATGAAAAATTCATATTTTCAAAGATTATAATTTGAAACCTATTCAAAATTCTATTATTTCTAAAAATTCACGCTATATGCTTTTAATATTCAACTATTATCTAAAATTTTAAGTGAACTTCAATTTTAAATCAATTCTTATTAGAAAATTCTAAGAGAATACAATTATTTCAATACAAAAATAAATAATTTATTGAATAATTGAATGTTTCTTAAAATTGAATTCTCACAAAGAATTTTATCAACAAATTTTTAAATAATTGAATTTTTTTACGAATTTAATTATTATTAAATTTAATAAAATTTTTAACAAAAATTATACATTTTTCGAGAATTTTCATTAAAATTGTATTAAAAATAATTGAAATTCTGCGATGACTTTTATTATTTATGAAAATAATTGAATTCCTGTAATAATTTTTATTATTTATACACAATTGAATTATTGTGATAAAATTTATAAAAAATTTGTAAATAATTGAATTCCTGTGAAATTTTCATTATTTATGAACATTTTTGAAAATAATTGAAATTTTGTTAAGAATTTTATTAAAATTTTTTAAAATATTTGAATCTTCGAGAAGAATTTTATTATTTATAAAAATAATTGAAATTTTGATGAGAATTTTTTTAAATTTTTGAACAAAATTGAATTTTTGCGAAGAATTTTATTACTTTTTAAAAGGATTGAATTTCTGCAATCAATTGTAACTTCTCCAAAATTCAATTTTTTTAGTGTTTTTTAACTAAAATTCTTCTATAAATCCATTATTTTTAATAATATTAATTAATTAAATGTATATATTAAAAAATTTAATTAATTTCAGAAGAATTCGAATTATAAAAATTTTTCAAGAATCTCAGTTCTTTAAAATTTCTAATTATAATTCATCCAAAATTGAAATTTTATAAAATTTCATTAATTTTGAAATATTTAAGTAAAATTATTCATTAAATAATTTATAAATAATAATTTAATAATATAGTTTTTAAAGAATTAAGTTATTTAAAGAGAAATTTTTGTCAGAACAAGAAAAAATTGAAAGTTTTATATTAGAATTCGCGGTAGTTTCATAAATTATAAGGCAAACAAAAAAGACACCAAAATTTAGAATTTTCTTATCAATTCTAAAAATTAAATTTTTTGCAGTACTTTTAATAAAAATTCCTTACCTTTCCCTGATTTCCCTGGCCAATTCTACATTCTCCAACTTTTCCCTGACCTGTGTCAACTCTGAACTAATATTCATAGAACATGAAATTAGGAAGTGAATATTTTGATTTGAAAAAACATTTTTGATTTCCTACGATTCCAATTCAAATTCTCTCTAAATCTCCTCAAAAATCTGATAGAATTCTATTTGATTATAAAATGGAATTTTTCAAAATTCCGAGGGATTTATTATTGCGGATACTTTTCGAGAAATATTTTCAAGCAGAAACGAGAAAAGAAGATATTTGAAGAAAAGAATCGAAAAAAGGAATCAGAATGAATGGAAATAAATAACAGAAAATAAATAAAGAAAAGAAAAAAAATGTGAATCAGAGAATAAAAAAAAAAAAATCGAAAAAGAAAAATAAAGAATCGAAAATAAGAATAAAAAAGAATCCAAAAAATTTGAAAGAGCAATTTAATCCCAAATATAGAGATTCACAACTCACCGGATAATGTGTTGATTGGTCGACTGCAGCAAGATAGTGGTGTATTTAGTGATCAGCATTTTTTCTCTTATCTCTCCTCTTTTTCCTTTTTTATTTTATTTTATTTTTTGACGTTCAGAATTTTCAAAAGACGCAAACACGATAAGTTTTGTCGACGCAATCACTCTTCTATACGGTGCACTCACCCTTTTGCGTTTATTTATCAGCGGAAAGTACTTAATACTTAATTACATGGCAGTCAGCACGAAGACGAGAGCAGTGGTGAATACACAGTATTCGTGTAATGCGACACGGTCACAAAAACTTGTTGTGCCTTTTTTATTTGCCGTTATATACACATATATACATCTATACAATACAAACTCTTCGTCTACTCGGTTTATTTCAGAGTTCTCGTTTTACGCAAATTCGGGATTCCATTGGTGAAAATTGCGTGCATCAGTGTTGAAAAGTACCAAGGCGACAGGGAGGCTGTAACCGCCTGTACCACGAAAATTCTTAAAGCTAAATTTAGAGCTCATATTTTGTATTTTGGACGGGAGAAAGCGATATTCACGTTGCTTGCAACTGCGATACTCCTGATGTCGCGATATGAATTCGAGAGCGGGTGAGAGAGACAGAGAGAGAGAGAGAGAGTGTGTTTGCTTGCACGCACGGATTATCTTATTATCCTCAAGCAGAGTTGATATAAACGCCACGCCAACAAGCCACAATCGTGATCAATCCCGTTTGAGTGTGTCTCAACCTCGCACTCCAACAGATACGATAGGCCAAGGAACTTGAGAGTGCATCTGTGTTCTTGACCTTTTCCACTTTCCTTTTCACTTTTCTTTTATCCTTTATCTCGTTCGAGCTTTATTGACTGGGTCAAGTGTGCCATTGCTTCTCTGTTGAAAATTAATTATACCAATGATTTGCATTTTTTCTTTCTCTTCTCTTCTTTTTTTTATTTTATTTTATTTTTTTTTTATTGTGAGAGGTTTCGTTTAAATTTTGCCTCAAGACATTTGTACGCGAAAAAAGAAATGCAGAAAAGAATAAAGAGATGAATTTATTAATTACAAAGGCGAGTAAAGAAATAAATCTGCTAATTGCAAAAGAATAAAGAAATTAACTCTCTAAATCTGAATCAGTGAATTTCCACTGAAGATCAGTGAAATTTGACTGAGAATCAGTAGTGACTCTATTCTCGCGATTTGAATCAGTTGAATTTCACTGAAAATCAGTTAAAAACAATTGAAATTTTAGTTATTTTCCACTGATTTGCCAATTAAAAAACTACTGAAAATTTCTGTCACACATATTGAAAATTTCAATTATTTTTTAATTGGCCAATCAGTGAAAAATGACTGAAATTTCAATCATTTTTAACTGATCTTCAGTGAAATTTCACTGATTCAAATCGCGAGAATAGAGTCACTGATTCAGTTTTAGAGAGAATTATTTTTAATACACTGCAAAAATAAGTGTCTTATTTGATATCTTAAAATAAGATGTAAGATGGAAAAATGGTACCTTACATCTTAAAATAAGATGTTTTCTAAAGTATCTTACTGATTTTTAAGATGTTTTATACGTCTTAGATATTTCTTCTGTCTTAAAAAAGTAAGATACTTCTGTAAGTTTTTTAAAGTATCTTAAATTAAGATGTTTCTGTCTCAACAAGATGTTTAGCGATAAGATACTTGTGAATTGTAAGATGCGAAAAAAATTTAAGTTACTAAAAACTAAGATGCATAAAATGTCTTACATATAAGCCCATAGTTAACCTCAAAACTTTTTTCCCGAAAAATATGCTGAAAATATGTACGAAGATGCTTTTAGTATCTTAAATTAAGATATTTGAAATGACTAAAAAGTGACTACAATAACATCTTAGAAATGACTACCAAAACATCTTAAATAAGATACTTCTTTTTGCAGTGTAATCTTCGTATTTCATTCTTTCATTCTGTCTGGTCACACTTTGAAGTTACCCAGTGAGAAATTTCTCACCGGTCCAATATCGGTCCAATATTGGGAGCCAAGAGACCGATCATCGGTCCAATAAAGGCTCCCAATATTGGACCAATATGGGCTGATGCTTGGGATGTAACGGCATCGCCAATCATCGGTTGTCAATATTGGTCCAATATTGGCCGAATATTGGCAACCAAGAGAAAAAAATTTTTTTAAATAAATTTTTTTTAATTAAATAATAATAATAAAAAATTATTGTTTATAATTTTTGTTTAATATATTTATTTGTTTAATTATTTATTTTTAATAATTCATGTAAATAATAAATAATTTATTATTTATAAATTATAATTATTTAAAAATGCAGCAGCTATTAGAAAATAGCATTCTGCAAAAAAATTCTATCATTGAAAAATCAATGATAGGCGAGAGAAATCCGCGTCTTTAAATAGATTCGCAGATGATAGACAAGAGATATCCGCGTCATTAAACGGATTCGCAGATATACTCTGGTCTCGCGACGAATCTCTCGATACTTATATACACTGGAGTCGCCGTGTCAGTTGCGAGAACGGTTACAGCGTCCCTCTTGCGGCAGAGATAAGAATTGTCACGTAAACTGCTAAATCGCTTTACCGACCGCCTTATTATACCCGCAGTTTACGTGACAATTCTTATCTCTGCCGCAAGAGGGACGCTGTAACCGTTCTCGCAACTGACACGGCGACTCCAGTGTATATAAGTATCGAGAGATTCGTCGCGAGACCAGAGTATATCTGCGAATCCGTTTAATGACGCGGATATCTCTTGTCTATCATCTGCGAATCTATTTAAAGACGCGGATTTCTCTCGCCTATCATTGATTTTTCAATGATAGAATTTTTTTGCAGAATGCTATTTCGATTATTTCCTAATAGTTGCTGCATTTTTAAATAATTATAATTTATAAATAATAAATTATTTATTATTTACATGAATTATTAAAAATAAATAATTAAACAAATAAATATATTAAACAAAAATTATAAACAATAATTTTTTATTATTATTATTTAATTAAAAAAAATTTATTTAAAAAAATTTTTTTCTCTTGGTTGCCAATATTTGGCCAATATTGGACCAATATTGACAACCGATGATTGGCGATGCCGTTACATCCCAAGCATCAGCCCATATTGGTCCAATATTGGGAGTCAATCGGCGCCCAGCACGGCAACCAATATTGGACCGATATTGGACCGATTAAAGTCTATTGGCAATTTCTCACTGGGTAGTTTTTGTGAATGCTTTTTGTTTTTTTTGTTTTTTTCTGCTTTAAAAAATATTGTTTGACAGATCGAAAAATTCCGGTATTTTTTCATGATTTATAATAAACCAATATTTGAAATAAAAAAATAAAAAATTATGTTTAACAAATAAATTTTGTTTATTATATGCTTTTTTCTATAACAAATTTCGTTTGACTGATCTAAATTATGCAAATTTTTCTCCTTTTTATTTATAAACAATATGAGAAAATTGTTAATTGCGTTAAAAAATTATAATTAAGAAATAGGAAATATAATTTATATTATTCTCAATAACAATGTTGTTCGGAAACTCATTCTTTTCTTTTGGAAAAGAAACATTACATATACTATTCTATTTGTCAATTACAAATTTTAATTCAAAATGAAATGTTCTGTTACATTTACTTACGAATTTTTTTAATTGTAAAATTATTCGAAAAGATCAATAACTTTTTTTTTTAATAAATATTTAAACAATATTATTTTTCCATAGGAATTAAGAATTTTAAATATTTCAAATTCAAATCTTTTTAAATTCAATAATTCATAAGAATATTGTTATAAAACATGAACATATTGATTGCTCCGAGTCGAAGACTCGGAGTGATTGATTTCTTCATGTTTTATAATAATTAAAGATGATCAAGTAATAAAATCATTATTTTATATTATAAAAATATTGTTACTGTAATTTCATCAAAACTATTTTCTTCATTTCAATTCAATTATTATTTTCTAGAATTTTAAATTATTTTTATGAAAATAATTGAATTCCTTAAAAAAATTGTATTGTTTATAAAAATAATTGAATTATTGCGAAGGAATTTATAAAAAATTTGTAAATAATTGAATTGCTGAGAAATTTTTATTATTTATGAAAATAATTAAATGTTTGCGTACTATTTTTGGGAATTTGAAATTGATTTGAGAATAATTGAACTTTGGGAAAGAAATTTGTTATTTATAAAGTTAATTGGGATTTTGACGAGATTTTTTTTTTATTTGAAAGATAATTGAATTTTATGAGAAGAATTTTATCACTCTTGAAAAGAATTGAATTTCTGCAATTATTTGTAATTTTCCAAAATTGGATTTTTTTTAGTGTTTTGAACAAAAACCCAGGCGCGAGCTGACAGTGAGTTCAGGCTTTACGAAACTTGATTGAGACTTGGTCAGTATTGGTTGAAGATTGGTGGGACAGCGAAAGCAAGGCTACTTGAGTCCGGAATAGTAACATCGATGTAAACCTGACGCTCAGTCTTTGTTGAAGACTGGCGTTCAATCTTCAATCAATGCTGCGGAAACCGAAAGCAGGACTGAACAAGACTGCTTCCACTGTTCCCAAATTTACACGCTTCTCACGCGTTCATTCAATATAACGTGAATATATTAATTATTATTATTAATAATAAACAGTATTGTTATTAATATATATGTATTTACATATTTAATGACAATAAGTTATTATTATAATAATTATATTATTTTCATATAAATATTATATGACTAACAATAAATGTCATTTAACATAATAATATTGAAAAATAATTTTAGCAAAAAAAAAACACAATTTGTGATAATTTGTACATTTTTTAACTTCATTTTTGACAGACTTTTAATATTATTTACAAACAAGTTCACAAGTTTTTATTCACAACACTTATTAATTATACAGATTAAATAGTAATTTTATTATTTTATGTAACCGCTTATAATGAAAAAATCCGCTCGCATGTGGGATCGAACTCACGTCCCCCCGCCCCAAACGCATTCCGGAAGTCCTAGACGCAACCACTTAATCCGCACGGCCACTGAGTCTCGATGAGACCTCGGGCTAATGTAATATATTAATGCCAGTGCCGTATACTTTGTTACTTATAAGGGCAAAGTGAAAACTATGACTAAAAATTTTACACATACTAATCCTGAATTATTTTAATTATTAAAAATGAATAATAAATAATTCATAATAAAATTGTAATCATTACAAAATTCAACTTTTAAAACATTTTACAATTAAAAATATTTAATGGATAATTTAATAAACATCGATAAATAATTGATATTTTTTATTATTCAGTAACAAAATTATTAACATTTATTATTAGATATATTAATAATATATTATGTAAATAAATATAATTTGGAATAATAATGAATTATAATGTTAAATATTATAATTATTATTAATTATAATAATATTTATTAATTGAATAATAATTATTAAAATTATAATAATTAATAAATAAATAAATAATAATTAATTAAATTAATATTAAAAGTTAACATAATTAATAAAATGATTAAATATGATGCAGTGTCAGGAATATTTATTGCACATTTTAATTATTATTTATTAATTATCTATAATAATTTTGAAAACATTTATAAAAAAAAAATTTCCATTTAACTTTCTTTAAATATGAATGTTACAATTAATAATATATTTATTTATCAATTGATAACTTAATGTTAATTATTATTATTATTATTTGAAACAATTATTATAATTATAATTATTATAATATTATTTAATTAAGTGAACACGGTAATAAATAAAGATAAACTGAATATTGAGTAAAGATTGATTCAAGCTTGAATCAAGATTAGATGTTCGAGCTTCACTCATAAAGATTGAC